TCTTTTATTGTTTCAGCATGAAGGCAGACAGGCTCAGCCCTTGCCTGACTGCTCCTCTTCACAGCTGGCTTCGGAGCAATTGTTTTTCTTGCAAACAACTGTTCCCCATCACAAATCTTCCCCATGGTTTTGAATGTTTTTCTCTTTTCTTGTCCAGACAGTTCTAATGCATGTAAACCACTAGAACAGAAGTCATCATATTGGCAGCCTTTCTTTTTCTCTGCCTGGCATACTGAATTAAATTGAGTTAATTAAGGATTCCTCGTAAGACCTGAAAAGGCCAGGCTTCAGTCTGGGACACTGGTTTAAAGTGACGTTATTTACAGTGGTCCATGTGGAACAGCAGAAAGTTCTCCAGAGGGATATGGTTTACCTCTAGAATTTGGATCATGGTAACACCTAACAAATTGATGAGGGTAGATGTGGTCTTGCATGCTGTGCCTGGAGAGCTTGGCAATCTGTACAGGCACCAGAAGGCAAGGTGCAGATCAAATTTAGTTTTTCCTCAATAGTGTGCTTTAAAACTTCAGGGAGATCTTTTTCAAACAAGTAAACAAAAACTTGGGTTGATGGTTAAAAGAGGTTTTTAATTTGCTTTAAACACAGGCAAAAAATGTATGGGGTATAAGAATTCTATGGGTTTTCACTGTTTTGATGCTTTGTTTGTTTGTTTGGTGCTTACAAACGAGCCAAAGTAGCAAAGAGTTTCTTAGTTAAGAGTTTACTCTGGAAGAATTCCTGGAACAGTTTTGCTTAAACTTGTTGCACACAATGTGGTTCTGGTAATGAGTCCTTAAGCAGTTTTCTGATCTGAGAAATCCAAGGTCAGGAGGAGGTGGAGGTGCTCCATGGCAGAAGAGGCACACCCCTGAAGGGACTGGAGCCCTTGGAGGACCCATGCCAGAGCAGGTACACGCTCCACAGGACTGCAGCCGATGGAGAACCAATGTCAGAGCAGAGGAAAAAAGCAAGAAGGTGCAGCACAGGGAAGCCACTTTGTACCTGGAACAACTCCCCGCCCACCCAGAAGCTTCGCGCCAGCTCTTGCCTCACTGAAGGTAGAGTGTAACCTGCAGCAATAACGAGGGGGCGGAGAGGAGTCCGGAGTGGAGTTGAGGCTTGGAAAATGGGAGGAAACGTGTTAAGATCTATCAACACGTTTCCCAAAACCTGAATCAGTAATTAAATATTTATGGTGACTGGCAATAAATTAAGCTGAATTCCCTGAGTTGAGTCTGTTTAGGCCATACAAGTACTTGGTAAGTGACTTCCCTGTCTGTATTTCGACCCATGAGTTTTCTTGCTCTTTTTCCTCCTGTCTTCCTTCCTGTCCTGCTTGGGGTGAGGGAAGCAGCTGGGTAGGAGCTTGGCCGCCAGCCAGGGCCAACTCACTACAGGTGTTCAGCAGCTCCGAGGCATGTGGTGTTGCTGATATGGCAGCATGTGACGCACAGGGGACTCGGAACAGCAGCTCTGGCCCATGGCAGGTGCGCTTCTTTTGTAGGAAGTTGCAAGTCTGGGTCTGCTCACAGGCCCCAGCTGAAGATATCTGGAGTTTAAGCATCTTTTCTGTTACCTCATTCTGATGCCTCATTTTAGCATGTCCATTGTGGACTTAAAATCCAGAAATTCTACTGCACACAAATGAATTTAAATTACACTTTAAAAATACCATTTTTACAATCCAGCACCATTGTGATAAAATGAGTGATCACCGTTTTCAGTTTCACTTTAGTCTCTCCCTTTTAACATGCTCTGTATACACCAAAAGATGAAATTCAGTTCAAAAGATATTTCAGTACTTTCTTGTACAACTCTTTCCTTGTTTTATGAAAAACAGCAAATGAAGCAAAACCGGCCACTTAACAGCAGATCACGGCCTGGGTTATGCAGTATTTTTCTTCCACTGCTATCTTCCAGAAATCCTGTTGTGGAGGGATGTGGAGAGAAGAATCTGACAACCGCCCTGAGGATTTCCTGTGAGTTAGAGTCAGGCATATTCCCTGCTTCCTGGCCATACGAGTGCTGTGGTTTGCCAGGGTGACAGGTGAGCAAGTCTCCTCATTGTAAATCATGGGTTCTGAATTTAATTCCAGGGCCATCCTAAATGGCTCTAATTCCAATGACCTCTGAGTGTAGCCAGTGTAACTTTCTGTATTGCTATTAACATCCTGCCTGCTGTTTAGGATAAAGTTCACTTCTCTGCTGGGCCTACACAAGATCCAAAGCTCTTCAATGCAACAGTGAGGGTAATCTGGACTATAAGGAGTAGCACAAGGCTACTGCCTTTCCGAGTGTTTTCACTCATCAACAGTTTCAGCTATTCCTTTTCACACATAATTTCATAATTAGGTCCCTTATGAATAATTTGCCAATGATTTTTCTGCTTAGAGTCACTGGACAAATGATTGCAGAATTAAAGCATATGCTGCTTTATTCTTTAGTCTGCCTTATTTGCTTTGTAGTATCAAGCAGTTTATCTGCAATTTCATTTTAAATCAGTACTATATTTCTGATGAATGACTTACAGATTCAGCTAAGCATGAAACAGGAATTTACACACCTGTTAGATGTTCTAACCTATAGTGGGAGCTTAAAAATACATCTCCTATATAGCACATTCTTACAGAACAGAGTAAAATGTAGCTGGCACAGGCGCAAAAACTCTATCAAAATAACGAAAAACATGACTTGTTTACATGATGTTTTAAAATCAAACAAAAGAGCAAGATGGTAAAAATGCCATGGAATGGCTTGTTTAAATTATCAGGTCTTTTTTTGTTCGTTTTGTTTGTTGATTCTCTCAGATGTTTTTAAGATTTTTCTGTATACTTGTTCAAGTTTGGTGAACACAGATCCAATTCCAAACCCTCATTTTTTCCATCTTACTTGTCTTAACTTGTCTTATTATGACAAAGTTTGCAATAACATCATGTAGAAGGTTTTCTTTATTGTTTATCTAAGTGCAGTTAGTACAAAAGCCCCACTGTAAATATTTCCAGCAAAGTGACTGCCCTTCTCCAGAGAGTTTCTAACCTGAAAAGGGGCTGGAAGTGAGTAATGGAGGATCTGGTGAATACTGCTAGGAAAAGCTCATAAATGAGACCTTAACGTGGAATTACCTAAATCCACTGTGGAAATGGGATATTTGTCTGCTACTGCGAACATCAGCTGAAGCCACTAGCCCAGTGTGGCTTTAGCTGTGGCCTTTTTGGCAATACAGTTGGCACACCTTAAAGAACAAGTGACTAAGACGCGGTGCTCCTCTCTGCACGCGGCTTTCCTCTCGCAGGAGTAAGCTCTGAAGCTACTTGGCACCTTGCAGAGTCAAGACGTTAGTTGTTACTTCAGACTGGAAAGCCAGTCTCGCCCATGTGTGGGATGCTGTCTGAAGCAGGAGGGGATTAAATTCTTTCATAGAGTTCAACGGTAGGGATTAGTCCGTCCTCAAAAGACCGTCTGGTGTGTCAGACCTGAAGCACACAGCTGGGGTGGCTGAAGAGTGCAGGGAGAGGCATGCCCTGTGCCAGTGGGCTGCTTGGTCCAAAAAGGAAATGTTCCCCAAGACAAGGTGGGAACTGGGATGTGCCCCAAGAGTGCTCTTGACCCTTTCCCAGGTGAAAGAGCGGGAGAGTTAGTTGACCATCACGTAAGCACAGCAGATTAGAGAAGTTTGGCTGGTTTTATCAGAAGGAAGTTGCACAGTCTGATTATTTACACTTGAATGGACTTACTCTCTGCTTATTTTATTTTCCTCTGGCTGAGACTGGAATGTCTGTCTGTCTTTCCTGATCTTTGAGTTTGTGTATCCAACTTTTAAATTGGCTGATCAGCCTGTTGTACTCATGATGGCTTCAGAGGGAATTTTCTTTGAATTGGGACTTTTGGACATGGATCTCAGTTTTCTTGAAAGTCCTTTTGCTGGGGGCACCTCTCTTAGTGAACACAAATGGAAATAAAAAGTGCTGGAAAAAACATTTTATTCCATTCTAGTAAAACGTAGCTTATTTAAGTGGTAAAAGGAGCACTGGTGTCCCTTCTGCATATGATGAATTCTCCATTTGCAATCTGTGTTTTCATTAGTTTCACCACGATTCAAATAGGCATTTGATAGTTCTGGTTTATAGCTGAGTGAAGGAGGCATAAATGTATTTTAACTTTTTCAAAAGGTGATTAGTGCTTTAGCTTGTAAACGTTTTCATGATCAATGCTTTAAAAAATAAAAAGCATCTCTAGACCTATGATTCTGTAAGGATCTTAAAGGTGATGGTTCCTTTTTTTGGTGGTGTATTTACAAAAAAAGAAGGAAAAAATTAACAAAATTTCTTAGCTTCAAGTTTAGACAATTGTCCTAACACTTATATTCATCACTCAGAGAAGTTCACCCATATTATCACCATGCTACGATTTCTTTTCAGTTAATATTAAATGCCTTTGTTTCTTCAGCTACTTAGATTAGATCTTAATAATTTAATTTAACTGCTCTTAGATATTAATTGCAAATATAAATACAGCTTTTTAAGGATTCGTTACCTCACCTGATTTTACATTCTTACTTATATAATTTACTGTTAAACCGATTTGCAACTTTTTGTGGCTTATGAAAGTCCCATTAACAGTTCTTTTGCAGTTTGGTTCAGTACCAAATGGTAAAAGACCTTGATCTTTGTTGTTTTTATTATGAAGTTTATTTAACAATTACATTTTCCCCTTCCCTCAGAAGCAGCATATGCAGGTTTCTTTAGCTTGGGAAACTCAGCTATAGGGCTTTAAGACATTTGTATGTTTGCACATCTGTATCTATACGGATCAGTATTTATGATATGCCATATAAATGCACATGCTCTTCCTGTGTTAAATGCCATTTTGAACAGGAAACCCATTGTCTTGCACAACAGGTCTGGTTTCCTTGGTATTCCTGACTTAAATCAGGCTCACCTTGTTATCTGTGTATTATGGCAGTGGACTCCAATGTGACAGAGTTTTCATTTTTTTGAATTAAGTTGTTTATACTAGATTTTACTACCTGTAGATGTGTGTACATGGGTGGATGATGTTCACAGATCTTTCATCTTTCAGTTTTATATCCATTCAAACAAAAAGAACAGTGCTGCACACTTTCAAATATATTCTAATATTAAATACTGTTTAAACCTTTAGCATGTTGTTCATCCTTATGCAAGTCTTAGTCCAACTGTTCAGTTTTCTTTTGCTTGTTAGCCATGCTTCAGGCATACCTGGCATCTACTGATTTTTTTCCTCTGCTCTTGTCCTTCTTTAAGAGTTCCTGACAGCGGGGCTGACGCAAACTGCAGTTCAGGCATCACGGTTGTTAGCCAGAAACTGTATTCATTAGCAAAAAATTGGCATGTTCCGCGCTGACCCTGGCATTCAATGAATGGCGCTGATCTGAAGTCTTCTAGGCAACTTCCAGGTGACATAAGGGACTGTCCACCACCCTGATCACCAGATCCAGTGTGCTGAAAAGAAAAATGAAAGAACTTGGTAACTGTGCATGAAGAATAGGTGAATTATGTTCATCTGTCTCCTTCTGACTTTATTTGCTTTTAACGGTACTATTTTTGGTGATCTGAAGTTGGAGTAAGCTTCCTTTGCTGGACAAAATTTGCTCTGTAATGAGTTAATCTCAAAAGTCTGGAGCCAGCTCACTTATTTTTCTGGTATTTATCAAACTGAAGAAAAGAATAATCCAGGTTGATTCTAAATGATGCTGTTATCTAAACTGCTGCAAATGTAACTAGAGGATGGCATTAAAAAGACCTGGAGCTCTAATTCTGAAAAGTGTCTTGGTACATGAAAATCCCATTGTTTGTTAAAGACGAGCAAGCAAAATCTTCATAATTTTAAGAAACGTGTAGCTTAAGGCTATGACTTTAGTGTATATATAGCTACAGTCAGGTTCTGCAACTTGGAACTAACCCTTGTTTCTTCTAGTGAATTTTCCTTTTTAATGTTTGCTAGACGTTGGATAGTTTACTTTTCAGAGCTAAAAACCTTTGAACATTTAGAACACACACAAAAAAATCTTTGTAGGAAAGAAACGCATGTATATGATCATGTGCCCCAACTCTTACCATCAAAAAAGAATATCCTATCCAAAGGCTCCTCCAGTTTGCTGGGCAGGGAGGAATTGACTGATCCTGGCTGTGAACTGCTACCGCTTGGGCTGGGGCCTCACATACAGCACATCTGCTTATATAAGGTTGTATTTCTTCTTCAGAGAGTGGTGTCATTGGTAAAGGAGCAGCACTTGACAGCCAGTAAGACTTATCGTTTCGACTGGCGTAGTAACAAACTTGGTTGATATTGCAGTAAGCAAAGGGCATGGTATTAAACACAGGAAGACAAGATCCTGCCAGACCTAAAAACAGTAACAAAGGATGAAAGTTACTCCGCTTCTTTCTAGGTAAGTTGAAAATAGTATTCTGGCCAACAGTTGCTGCAAAACTATGTATCTTAACAGAAGTTACACAATTCACAGATCTTACACCTCCCAGGCTCTTTACCAAAACGGCTAGTTATATTGAAAACAGAAACTTTTTTTACCAGTAAGTATCTTCCTTTGACCAAATAATATTTAATCACATTACAATCCAGTATTTAAACATGATGTAGTTTGTCACCATGGGAAACAGTTATGATAACAAATTTCTTAGCTGTGCCAACACTGAAAAATAAATCAGGCAAGAGGTGGCGGCTGGTTTAAAAGGAGATTAGCTATTTACAAACTCGTTAGGAGCAGTGAGAAACCAAACGTCAATGCTGATAAATAGAACGTTTTTGTGAAGTATGACAAGCCATTGCTACCAGTGCATTAAGCTGAAATCTCAGCAGCTGTTCTATTGCATTCTAGAAAGGTTTCACAGATTCTCAAAGTGAAATAAAAGGATTGAGGGATTTTGCAGAGCCAGTCCTGCAAAATTCTCATCAGGCAGACATCAGTGGGAATTAAGAAGTGACTAGTGCACACTTCAGCATGCTTCAGAGGTGAAGTTCTTCCAGAACTGAATATCGAATAGTGTCACGATGACCTATTTAGTTAACAATAATAATCGCTGCATATATGTTCTGCCTTGAACTTTGTGTGTCATGTATTACTTCTGTAATGCCCCCAAACCCTAATGCCTTCTTTACAGACATGTGGTGTCTACTCAGAAGCCAGTTTTGTTTATCACTGATAACATTCCATTCCAGTACTAATAAAGGATCTGGAGTAGCCTGAGTAAGGAAGATGCCTGCAAAAGAGCACTCTGGTCACAGGAAACAAGGACTTTATTTTCTTTGAATCTCATTTCCACTGCTGTTATAAGGCATTCTGTTACCAACTGGCTCTCCTGGGGAATGCCAAACACACAATAGTGAAAACATTTCAAAACAACACTGCTGTTCTAAAAATATCTTTTTATTGCTCTTTTAAACACTTCTTTTTTGTCCAGCTTATTAGGTCCTTGATCCTTCCTCCTAGGAGGCTTCTCTGCCTCTTGTATAACAACTCAAAAGAATTTAGGAAATTTCTTCTGTGCAAATTGCTGCCAGTCAGTTTCTCAGGCTGTAGTCAGGCGGCTTATTTAGACACCTAATTTTAGTCAGAATTGTAGAAGACACAGAAGAAACGACCCGACACCAAAAGGAGCTGTCATTGGGTGAAATTTTGCTCTATCTTTTCCAAAAAACATTAGCTTCTGACTCTTAAAAGCTCGCAATTCTGTGCTACACACAAAGCATACTTTTATTTGTAGAGCTTGCTTATGCTATCCAGCTGAAACCACCAAACTTAATCAGCTCTTTTTCCCAAGCTGTCTCTAGTCAAAAGGAGCAGATCCTCCAGGGAGTTATTTCAGAGTCACCAAATGAGATTCCTGATCTAGGAAAATCCCTCCAGTGAGTTCAAAGACAGCCTGAAATGACTAGCCAGGATGAGTGAAATAAACCACTCATCTCTCCAACTTCTATTCAAAATTACTGCGAGGTAGAAATACTTTTTTCATTCAACTGCATTAACAGCAGAAAGCCATTTTAAATAGGTCACATAACAGGGCAGCATAACCAAGTTCGTTATAATCCGTGTCAATTAGTTTTGAGTCTGTAGAAAAGAAGTAATTGATGATCCTATAGTGTGCTGCATTTTGACTTGTCTTTCATTGTATAGATCACACCTTATTTGACCTTAACTAGAGAGCAATTATGTACCAGCGTACATACCAAGATCTTGATTATGCGCTTTCTCCTGTCCTTCCAGGTACAGCAGACTATAGCCAGTCCATAATTTTGGCATACCCTGTGGACAGAGTGGTTCTCTGTCTGACTGACTGTGAAGGACGAGCAAGAATCCACTTGCAGATCTAATATGGGGGCCTGGTGGTCCTGGGATACCAGTCTGGCCAGGTGGACCTTAACACATAGGAGAAAAGGTAAAAGAAATTTACTTGTATGAACACACAGCTAGTATGAACTTTTACTATATTTAAGTGTTCAGTAAGGGGTTCCAGACTGAATATAATACAACTTCACAGCTTGTCACAGACAATAAAGACACCAGTAGACTCATGTGATCCTTCTTAGGGGAGAGAAATGAAGTAGATTGCACTGAATGCCTGACAGTTGGCTTTTCTGTTGTGCCTCTGTCCTGTATGGATTAAGAAATGAACTGAGGTGGTTCCCAGACTTACTAGGATGACTTGCCTGGACTGAATTTTAATCCCTGCAGTAACAGTTGATGCCCTTTCCTCATGTATGTATTAAACCATTAATTTATTAAGCAGCAGTCACAGTTAAAATACAATTTTAATTACTCACAGACAGTTGCACCATTAGCCCTGATTCCGAAATGCATACCTGTTGATATATGGTGTTTAAGCACGCGTGGTTAATTGCCTTTCTGGTTAATAATGGATGCCAAGATAAATTTTCTTCCGATAGGTCGTCTTATGTGTTATGAAATCATTCACAAATGTCATTATCAGTGCTTGAACTGAGAGGGGGAAAGAAGTGCCACGGTATCTCAGGCTAGAGGTAGATGTACCCATGTGTGAATTGGGGGAGTAGAGAGAAAGCTTAGTCTGTACATCATCTCATACATCTCTCCTCCAAGAATGTTCCATTCTTACCTTGTGGCCCAGCATATCCGTGCTCTCCTATATGCCCTTGGTCACCTGGTGGTCCAGATGCCCCAGGTAACCCATCTTGACCTGGCAGGCCACATGACCCTTCTTCACCTTTTCTTCCTAGATCAAATACAAAGTATTTCCCTTCATATGGCTGCATTTAAAGGTTACACATTGTCCAAACATGCACACCATGCAAAGGGCCAGTCAGCAGAACTGACACCACCAAGAAATGACGCTTCAGGACAGAGGTGCAGAACTGCTTTCTGCCAGGAACTCTCTTGACAACGTAGTCACCTTGTGACCACAGTAGTAGCTCAGAGGCACGACTTCAGTAACAGCAACTGCTGATAAGATTTTACGTCTTCTCTACAAAACTTGTGTGATTTACAGTTGAAATGAAAGTACTAACAAACACGATCATGACAAGCCTCTTGCAAAATTGCCATCAATATCTGTACCTTGTAATGAGTTAGCACTCATCCTATGGCAGGCCTTCATCTTTTAGGACCCAATTCAGCAAAGTCCTTAAACATGTACTGAACCTCCTGTGAAGCAATGCATGTATTGGAGCACTTACAGAACAGGGAGGGAGTGCAGAATCAGACTCCAACCAGCAGGGAAGGGTAAATCATAGAATCATAGAATGGTTAGGGCTGGAAGGGACCTTCAAAGGTCATCTAGTCCAACCCCCCTGCAAGGAACAGGGATATCTCCAACTAGATCAGGTTGCTCAGGGCCTCATCCAACCTGGCCTTGAACGTCTCCAGGGATGGAGCATCCACCACCCCTCTGGGCAACCTGTTCCAGTGTTCTACAACTCTCATGGTAAAAAACTTTTTTACCATGTATGTAAATGTAAAAATGTAAAGACATTTTTAGGCTCCTGGTGGCCTCACCTTTTTATATTTCTCATATGTACGTGCATTTTTGTACACTAACAGATAATGAGGCGTGGCCTTAACAGTAAAAGATACATCTCATATGCAGGGCACAGACAGTGATGGTCCTCTTCACTGCCTACTTTATAAACATAATCTGAATTGAAGGAAGTTACACTTGTCAGCTATTTCTGCACTCAGCAGTGTTTTTCCTCTTTTGGTAAAGAACAGGTTTCAGATGAGTACGTTTCTCTAGCACCACAGTTGTTTGTCATTAATGGTGTGTATTTCACTCCTTGCAAATTTTCCTATTTAACCTGCAGACTGAGTAATTCAAGGTTATATCACAACATTCAAAATTTCCTCATGGTACTTTTTACTATATCCATTTAGAAAATCTAAGCCAGTCAAAATCATTTAACAGTTTTCAATGTTGGTTGCATAGTTATTTTGCCAAAGCTCAAGTACACTGAAGTTGTAGTAATTGCTTTTGCCAGTAAAGCCTCCAGTTTGCCTTCCAAGCCAGGAGAAAATTGGATATCTGCTATCTTAATGAAAGGAAAAGCATTATTAAGTGTTTCTTTCATAAAACCAGTGTAAGTATGTATCCTTGTATCATCTGGTTTTACAGAAACTGTTCTAGTGACATATTTAATGGAAACACAGCAATTCAACCCCAGAAACACCTTCTAGTTGGCAAATCAGTTAAGATACAGAAAACCAGATAGTTCACTAAAAATTGCCTTGTGTTCGCTTTCATGAGGGGAATGACTACTGAACAGAATGGATTTTCTCTCTAGAGACATTGGACGTCCAGTGCAACCACTGCAACAAACTTTGGTTTCCCCAGTAGGAAATATCCACAATATTCCAAGTAGGAATGTTCCACTATCTAAACTGAAGACACCACATTTAGACACAATCTAAACTGAAGACGCTACAGAGGCATGCTATGCTGGGTTTCTATGAAGATGGTCACTCTGTTGGAATGATCAGTACCAGCATCACCCTTGTTTTCTTTTTATTTATCAGAAGAATGTTTCAGTCCTTTCATCACTTTTTAAGATCTCTTTGATCAGTTTTCTTTTGTGAAAACTTTTTTATGTTCTAAGGGATAAAAAGTGCTATCATAGCTGCCTCTCCGACTTCAGTGTCCTTTTAGGACTTTGGTTAGCAGAGCTTTGTGATTCATTATTGCTAAATTTTAAAGCATGTATATTTTTAACACCCTCCAAACATAACCTGTCTAAACCACAGGGGTGGTTTGAGGCATTGTGATTTCATTTGGTGGTAAAAAGGAAAAATACCGTTTGAAGAATCCTTTCTTAACAATGCCTGATGCTTTTGCCTTCCCTGCCCTAGGTAAAGGGAAAGAAGTGCGGGCAGGCTCAAGCAGCCTGGTTCAGCTATATTGATCCATCATCCTCAGCGTTAACCAGCCCACTACATGTTTCTGGAGACTGTTAATAACTGTTTTAGGGGAAGAGACAGGGTAAAACAGAGAGAAGTAACTGACGCTCTGACCCTTTTCAATTTGTTGTCTACATGGCTAAAATAGACATCTAAGCTTTCAAAACACAAGCTTACCTTGGGGTCCAGGGTGGCCTATTGGCCCTGGTAATCCTACAGAGCCATCGTCTCCTCTTTGGCCTGCTTCCCCAGGAAGCCCTGGGATTGCAGGGCATGAATCATCTATTTTTCCTGGTTCACCAGGATCACCTGGAATGTGTAACAGGAAAGTAAATTAGACAGAAGATTGGTTGATAGTTCCCATGTGAAAAATCAGCATAACTGTTAGCTGCATTTGGTATTCAATTGTATACTTTAAATATTTTAAAATCTTGATGCTTTTAATTTTTCTCTTAGTCTTTTAGCCCAGCATTTAACAGGATGGCAAGCATGTGTTAGCAAGTGTATGCTAGCTGATATTTTTCAAGTATTTGGTGTTCAGTTTCTGTCTTAATGTGCCCCAAACCGATTTGAGTTAAAGCCTGAAGTTTACCCAACTTCAGCAAAACCACCTGTGAACATGTGAAGATTCACAGTACTTTGTCTATTCTATGGCTGCAAAACCATCATAAACCTGCCAAAAAAGCTAACCCACAATATCAATTTAAAATAACTATAATAATAAAGAATGGCCACATTCTATGTATTCTATAAGTTACTGAGAACTACTGGCTATTTGCATTTTGGTGCAAAATCTGGATCCGATCAATCAGTCAGATTAAAAGTTCAGTGTTTGTAGTAATCCAGTGTTAGGATTCAAGTTTTCGCTAAGTTTTTGGTTAGAAAGCATCTTGTGTGACAACCAAAACCCAAAATGATAACTTGAAACGAGTATGTTTTACAAGTCTAATTGAGAAGTCTCATGCTATGATGTCAATGTAGCATCATCATGATATTGGTCTGCTTGGGAGTGCTAGCTATTTATGTGAAAAATCGATTAGAACTTTTGTAGCAGTATCTATTGCTAGCAGCCAAGCCAAGAATACCCTCTAATAAGAGTGGAATGTATCTATACAGAAGGAAGCCCATATGAAAAGAGCAATAATCAATAGTAATGAACTTACCTATGAAACCTGAAGGATTTGAAAAATGGAAAGCAGATTGCGACCATTGTGGTGCAGGTGGAAAGAAGTTTCAGGCATGTAAATTAGAGTAAAGACTAGAATGAGAACTGAAATCAATTACATGAGGTGACATTACAAACAAATACATAGTTCAGAAATTTTTACACAACTCAGATGAGAAAGTTATGGGTTTTTTCCTGAGACTGTTAAATTGTCTGTATGCAAGTAAATGTTAGTAAGACTATATATGAATAGAAAGATCATGGTTACAATTGAATGACAATGAGCAGCATGCTATAAGTACCTGTGGGACCTCTGGGACCAGGTATTCCTTGAAAACCTTGGTCTCCTGGATGTCCTATAGCACCAGGTGGACCCTGTGGGCCATGGATTCCCATAGGACCTGGAAAGAAAACAGTTGTGCAGTTACACGTGGTTGCATTCTGAGAAGGTGAACACATAAATAAGATGAAGTCTGGCTGCTTGAGTAACAAAAAAATGCTTGGGAGAGCTCAAATCTGTTGTTTCCCAGAAAGAAAAGCATATTTTCCTTTTCTCTCCTTGGTCTCGAACTGAATTAAAATTTAAGACTTTACTTTTTGTAGAGATTAGAAGGCATTAGTGTAGACAGGACTTTTCTACAGTGTGTGGAAGAAGCAGAGTATCTAGATCCCTGTTTTCAAATGAAAGAATCTGTTGAAAGCCCAAAGCTCTTGATGTGGGGCAGATGTGAGACTCTGTTAGTTCAAACACATCTGCATCTTCCATAGTTTCTCAAGACCCTTGCAGAGAGGTCAAGGTTTGCTTTATCTGGCAGGCTCAAAAGCTTTACTGCCGCATTCTCAGGTTGGCAGTGGCGTCTTCCAACAAGTTGCTGGAAGCAGTACATGCGAATCTGGCTCTGCTCTGACTTTCCACCCAAGCCCTATGGGCAGAGCTATGAAATGTCCAGCCTACCCCTTCTGTCTGGCTCAGTCTCCGAAGGCAATCCCCTTTGCACAAGGCTTAGTTGCACAGGGCTGGGCATAAGTGCACACGCTAGTAAAAAAACCTCAGCTCATACCCTTTGGGCCTCCTCTTCCTTGGTTCCCTGGAAGACCTCTGGCTCCTTGTTGCCCTCGCTGCCCAGGATTACCTGGTGCCCCTCGAATACCGATATCACCTGGATCTCCTCGCACGAAGATAGTCTCTCCAGGAGGACCAGGATTCCCAGGCTGACCTATGGTAAAATAACTTTATTCTTAATATATGCATGAACCATAAACATTTAAAAATAGCCATGTTTTATTGGGTTTTTGCTTTTGGGTTTTTCCCTGGGACACAGGACAGCTCTTGCATGTTTTTGGTAATATTAGCATTAGCCTTCGTCCAAGGCATTGTGAGGAAGACAATAATAGGAATAGCTCCCAACACTACATGGATTCTGTGCAAGCAAAAGGCAGGAAGTTAATGTTACATGCATTGAGACACTGTCTCTCTAGATTTATTACAGTATTGCTTACCCTTCCAATCTCCATCCTCTATTTCCCAGTAAGAAGTCTTCGTACTGGTAAGGAAGGGTTCAGATCATAATGTAAGGGATCAGAACAACTTGAAAGAGTGCCATTTGAGGACCAGAATCTATAGGACTTGACTGGATCCCTTGGCAACCCCCGCTTGTAATAGAAGTGAGGTCTATGTAAACGCGTACAAAAGAGTCACCAGCTTGAGCTTTTCCAGGGCTCGATTTAGATTGGCAAGCTTTTTGTGTGTTTACCAACAACAGCAGGCTTCTGGACAATGTGTTTTATCCTTCTTGCTAGGAAGAGAGGCGGGTAATCTTATTTCTGTTTGCTTCTGCCGCTACAACATATCTCAATTTCCACAGGACTTGTACATAACTACCACACAGGCCAGAAAACTGAATCTGGAGCTCTGATGATCTATGCAGTGTTCACTTCTCTGTGTGTCCACTGAGGTATTGATTGGTTGCTTTGTTCCCTATGTACTTTTATATGTTGTTCCACAGACAGCAACCCAGTGACTCCTAGTAGCCTCAGGGGCTTTTTACATGATCAAATTTGGTATTTTTTTTGTTTTAATACCTCTGATGCCATCAAAACCAGGTGGTCCTTGATCACCTGGAGGACCAGGAGAAGCACTATCACGAGATCTTCCCATAGGTCCAGGGGGTCCAATAGGTCCTCTTCTACCTAAAGGATCACATTTTACAAAAAAAAAAAAAAATCTGAGTTTTTTTTAGATTACAGAAACAAGTTACTAACAAAAAGAATGCTAACATGCGAAGTCACAGAGGTAATGTAGGCTCTCAGTATACTGAATGTACCAGTGATTAGGCTAATGAAGATATCTTGTAGAAGTGAAAATACTTGTTATCTTTTTAAAATTTTTAATTCTTTCCGTCAAATATACTTAAACTAAAGAATGCATCATCACACATTGGCATACTGCCCCAAATAGCCGCCTTCTCCTGAATTCTAACAATGGGAGAAATGGTAAAAATGTAAGACGAGTGGGAACTATGAAATCATTCTGCCTGGGACAACATAAGTATTCACAGATTGTTCCTAACAAAACTGAGTTCAGCCATTTCCTAAAAACCTCAGTGAACAAGATGAACTTACTAGTCGTAAACATATTTTTTTTCCTAATTTGTAATCTGGATTTTTGCAAAATAAGACATTAGTGCCCTTACATGTGACAGGCAGGAAGAGTTACAGGTTACCATCCTCTGCATAAAAATTTCCAATAGTCGCAGCTTGTTAGCACGTGTTGCACTCTTGTTACCTTCTCTTTTCTACAAAAAAACCCAAATCTAGTTTCTTCAGTCTTGTTTTCGACCTCATCCTTCCATTTACTCTCTAGTGAGCTCTCCCTAATTTGTCAAAGCTGAACACAGTACACCATGGGAGGCCTTGCCCATCCTATGTCTAGCAGTGTAATGAAACTTTTCCTCTTTTTTCCTCAACAGCCCCATTCTGTTGACTCCTCCAGTTCACAAACTAGTAACTGAATTGAGCAAAATGACTCTGTCTTCATCTTGGAATAATTCACCTCACCAGAATTCACCTCTGCTGTTTTTCTTCTGTGTGTCATGTGACACTGTGGCAAGGTTTGGTAGAGTAAATCTTATGTCATTTCTAATCACAGAATTGCTGAGGCTTGAATGGGCCTTTGGAGACTTTCTAGTCCAACACTCTCTTCAAAGCAGGGTCAGCTAGAGGAGGTTGCCTAGGACTCCATCCAGCTGGGTTTTGAGTATCTCCAAGGACGGACACCTCATAACTTCTCTGGGCAACTTGTTCCTGTATTCAATTACTCTCACAGGAAAACCAAAACTTTTCCTTATATTTAAGTAGAATTGTATCTTGTATCTCAGTTTGCACCTATTGCCTCTTGTCCTGTCGCTGGATGCCACTATGAAGAATCTGTTTCTGTGACCTTCCCATCAGGTGCTTATACACAGGGATAAAACCTTCCCTAAGCCTTTTCTTCTAGAGGCTAAGCAATTCCCACTCCCTCAGCCTCTCCTCATATGACAGACGCTCCAGTCTCTTAACCTTGTTAGTTGGCCCTTCCTCAAACACTTGCTTTTTCCTATTTCTATGTAATTCCTGTATTACCAAGGCTTTTAATCATCATAGCAATCTTGTAGTATGGTTCCATCTTGCATTTACATCAGAATAGTTGATAGATTTACTGTATTTCTGTGGCTACCAGATTTCCTGCACTCTTTTTCTTCAGGAATTTCTTCCCAAGAGGCAACTCCACCTAGCAGTTCCCTGAGTCTGTCCAAGTCCAACATTTTCTATCTCATTCTTTCCTCTCCTGTAGCACAATAAACAAGAAATACTGCAGTCTCTGTATCTACTCAGGAAACATAAGCATGTCATTGCAACATGTTTTTAGAGAGGGAATCTTCTGGATATGTATTAATGTTCATACTAACCAGGGGAAGAGCCTATATGAGCTTCATTTTACTCTGCAGGGCACCACTAAGGAGAAAACCCTTTCTTACCTGGGAATCCTGGGAATCCCCTTTCTCCAGGGGGGCCTGGAATAGAAATACCAGGCCGTCCAGGTTCACCTCGGTCTCCTTTTGGTCCAGGTTCTCCTGAGTATCCTGGGGGCCCCATTTCACTTTGACCTTTATAGGAAAACAATTATGTACACAAAGCTTACAGTGAGTACAAATACAGATGTGCAGAATAGAAATATCAGCTGCAGATGTTCCTCCTTGCAAGGGTTGCCTAGTGCTATTTTTCTGGTTCTCTCTTGGAAGCTGGATAGAGCTTTGTTGAATCTGGCTCTAATTCATCTCTTTCAAAGAATGTATCTCTTTGCTTTAATGCTCTTCTTCACTGTTATCTTATACGGTGTCATTATTGTCTGTAACTTGAAATGTAAACTGATTGCATGGTCCTAAATTTAATTTTCTATCAGCATAAATTTGTAATCTCTAGATAGGTGGTGAGCACTGTTTTTTAATGCTACTTCAAAAGCACCTTTTGAAAGTTGCAAGTAGATCAGCATGAGTGAAATCCAGGTTCCTCTCAAGTTTATGGCACAACTCCCATGAACTCTAATGGGGCTGGGATTTCATAAGTCTCCTTTTAATTTGTTAGTTTTATCTTTTACATATAAAAAACCTGGAGACTTGGCTCTACTTTGAATCATCTGCACTGAACATTTTCATTTTATAAACAGCCTTGAAAGGTTCCAACAAAACTGTATGAGTAATGGAAGTTTTAAAGTTTTCCCCACGAATAACTGCAGGTGTGTCATTAGCCATACTTTAGATTCTGTTTGAAAGTTTAGTCTGAGCCTGAAGTTATATCTTCTGGGCAAGGAAAATATCAAAATAATGTGCATCATTTCTTGCACATTCAGTCATTTAGGAGAAGATTTTCTGTTCCACATAGCTATTTCCCTTTTTTACCTGGAGCTCCTGCAGAACCTTTTTGACCTTTTAGTCCATCCAAGCCATCCAGTCCAGGCAGACCAGGAACACCTGAGAGGTATTACAGGCATGACTGGGTGCCACAATAATCCTTTAAAGTCACAATTAAAAATTATGTTTTTTTTTATTTTTCTGACAACACATTCTGGATCAAGACAGGGTATTTGTTGAGTTTGATTCTTATTGGCAACCAAAGACAAGATCACATTTCACCTAAGAGCAGCCTCTTTGGAAAGGAAAATACGAAAAATCCGAAAATAGCAATTATAATACAGTTTCACATCAAAGCAATCAGAAGACATCCTATACTGCAGCTAGCAGCTGAAAGCTCGGTATCGGCTAATTTACGCTATAGCAAATGCTAGACTACTACTGCTATATGTGGTTAGTCCAAAGTTAGCTGTGTTACCACTACCTGACCAGGTGACTGGGATGCAGACACTACCTAAAATAACTGTAAAGCTGGAACTCTTTTACAGCTTCTGTTCCAAATGTAACTGCAATTTAATCTAGCTGCACTAGAAAGCAGCTAAATTTTCACCTGGCTTCTGTTCTCTGGTCCTGCAGATCTCACACAGAAAACTCTGATTTTTTTTTTGCATCACAGTACTGCAAAAATTCTTTAAATTTAACAGCACAAAGTCTTTGAAGACAACAAATCTGTAATTGAGACCTATGCTGACGTGTAATAGTACAGAGCAGCTTTGTCACTAGTCATGTTGAACAGGTGACCAGATCACAGGCTGAGTGTTCAGCGTAGTCAGTTACAACTTTTGCTTTAGAATCTGTGCTTTTTTGAAAACTGCTAAAACACAGTAAGTAAAAACACAGATGGCATTTTTATCCTTCTTTTTCAAAGTTGAACTAATCTAAGATTGTGTTTGTTGTTCGCAGTGGAGGCTAAAAACACTTCTATGTCATTAGCACTTTATAGTTTCCTAAACTGTATCAAATGTATCTAATCATCAAACGTATTATCAAATGTAAGTATCAAAAGTGAAGATGTACACTTATTAAACACAGCTGGCAGTGTATCACCTGGTGACAGGAACAGATTTGGCGAAACTGTTTGGGTCATTTGGTAACAGATTTCAAAGAGGTTACAGACGGAGGAATATACTTGGGATGCTTCTTGCTTCAGAGAGGAATAGATTAGAGTGGACACTGATCATCAAGAAGCTGAACAATACTGTCAGTGCCTATTTCTGTCTCTTTTCCACCTTTGCTGCTTATCCCTGCCTAATTTACTTCCCCACCAGTTCCTCTCCCTGCCATGCACGATTCCCGGTTCAGTTGCAGTGTTTTTTTTTTTTACCACAAGTCTGAATTATCTTTCTATCTGTCATCTTTTCCCTGTCTAGCTACTTCCTGGCATAGAAGATGCAGGTTCTCTGTTTCAGTTCCTGTGCTTGATCTCAGCATGTCCTGCAGCATGCAAATCTGCTGTACATCCAGAGCATGAATCATAGGAGAATTTATTGCTGTACTTAAGCACATATGAATGGATATATTTTTTTTAAGTTTCTAAGCTGGTCAAAATTGGCAGGGACAAATTGCTGTAGGAACAGCAACACAAATGCACTTCTTCAACTGCTTCACCTGCCAAATTTAAAGGTCCCTAGTTCAAAGATGGGTCGTCTGAGAAAGAGAACTCCAGTGCCCTTTTATTTTTCCTAACAGACACAGCAAAAATAACAATCGCATAGCTTTGTTCTCAGAAACTGTTCTATTATTATAGTTGAAATCTAACAAAGGAATGAAAAGGGGAGGGGGAAAATCCATCCTTTAGCAAACACGGGTCTGGAAAAATTTTAAATCCCCAAGATTGTTTGAAAACCTGCAAGACATTGATAATATACTCTCTGTGTAATCGCCTTTATCATACTGGATATTAGTAATCCAACCTTTAATATCTTCTATGCCATTAATTAACTGCTCTTTAACTTTTCATGACATTCTAAGTTTCAATCCTGCTTTCTGTAGCCTGCTTGTGCTTTGGGCATGTTCCCGTTTTCAAATTTATGTAAGAGCTGCATGCCAATTTGGGGAATTTAACAGTGGTATTTCAAAATTATTTTTAACTCCTAACTATTTTTGGCACCCAGGTCACCATTTAAAACTTTTTTTGATCTTTAGCTCATTCAGTCAAGATTGATGGCTTGGTTTACTTGCTTTCCAGGGAATTTCTGACACATTTGCCAACAATCCATTATAATATCAGCACTTGTAATTCTAGATTTTTGGATTGCTATAGTCCCATATTTCTAGGTACAGCTGAATTGGCTGACCTACATATGAACCACTGTTTCTGTATTTTACAGCCCAATTCAGCTTCTACTCACTGAAGTAATTCTGCTGATGTTCTTAATATTACTTGCTTCATCAAGGATTACTCACACAAGTAAGGCTTGCCAGACTAAGCCCTTAACTAGTAAAACTATCTCTGTAATAAAGAAAATATGATTATGCTTTGGTAGAGCTGTTTAAGTAACTTTTTTTTTTAATCTGAAAGTTCTTCAGGCACAAGACATTTAATGTAAATGAGAAGCAATTAGACTAACAGGGCTGTGTACTTAGCTATGAACAGCCAATTAACCATTTCACTTCTAATGCTAGCAACAATATTTATTGAAAATGGCCTTAAGATCTATATTCTCCAACTGAATTGGAATACCAATTCTGTTCAGTTTTCATTACTGGGTATAATTTCAAAGGTGTGAACCTTCTTTTCAACTATGATGGCAATATATAGAATCCTAATGCTTAGCAGGCAACTTGGTCTCTAATGAACTGCTGTTTGGAGCTCAACTTTTCCCTCTGCAGCACGTGTTAATTTGTTATGTTTCCTGCGCAGGACTTGGGATAACTTCTGCACAATATAGAAAAGAAGTGTCTTGCCACTTACGACAGGAAGAAAAGAGTCCATCTGCTGCTAAGAAGTTTTCAGCAGAAGAATGCTTTTTTTTGTTTTTGACCCCTCTCAATTTAGACATCCCTGTCACTGCAGATCTCTGCCTTTGTTACAGGAAATATTGTTTGCAACAATGAAATGTTCTCTTGCAGATTATGCATCACCAAAGAATCAGTCATGACAGTTTAAATCAGCACCACTTATTTAGTGCAAGCAATCATAAATGATTTCTGCTTTTCATTTAAACTTTCAGTAGTTTATAAGAAACCACCTTGATTTTTCCCTTAGTATGAATTTGAAAAAGTGAATCTATTGACCTCTCTAACCATTTATCGTAGTCCCAAGTGTTACTTTACTGTGATTGCTGTATATGGGTCGCTAATGTTATTCTTCCTGTCCAGGAACTGGCTATGAAGCACACTATAACCAAGAGAGGATACAAAGTACATAGTTGATTACCTTTCTTTATGAAGAGTTAATGTAACTTTATAATGTCAATATATCATTCTGAGTATAGTAAAAAATTCATAATGTTCTCCAGCAAAAAGAACTGTATAGATGAATTCCTGTTCAATCTAAACATAACATAAAAATCTGAGAAGTCTAAATTAGGATTTGGAGGAAACATTTCTACGTTAAATCCACCAAAAATCAGTTTTTGGAGAAAACAAACCAACAACACAACCAACCCAAGTTGTCTTATCACAATTTGTTAAAACAAATTTGTAAGACAAAACTGCCCATAGCAGTCTGCTGGTTTTGTAGAGTAACAGTGCCACTCCATGGTGAAAAGGTAGAACTTCATAATTGAAGTGAAAGTGAAACATCTGAATTACTGCACACTCCATTTTCTTTCTTTAAGTTCCACTATCAGTTACATCAGCTGAGCCAGAATCTGTTTCTACCTTCTTCCTTACTCATTTTAGATTGTAGCCCAATTTTCTAAGGTAGCCTGTATGTTACTTTTCAAAGGTGATGGGAACTGGCTTAATTCTTCTACTAGTTTAAGAAAATAAGAGAATCAAAATCATGCTCACAGTTAGGCCTTTTCCTTTTTAACTACTAAAAGAGAATTTACGTCTGGTGCTATTACATTACCAGTAGAACTCCACTGTATATCGTTTACCTTTTCTACCCTGAGATCCAGGTAATCCTTGCAATCCTGGAAGTCCCAAAATTCCATGTTTCCCTTTTTCTCCAGGTTCTCCTGGCAATCCCTGAGGACCTGTAGCTCCTGAGAGTGGAAAAAAAAAAATCTGTGAAAACGCAAATCTACTAAACTGTCCAATTTTTATTTTTTTTGTGTGTGTGCTATGCAGCACATTGTGTTAATCAGAGGTACCTGAAAGTGTATGGGAATGTATGAAGAACTTGATGGATCTTACTCTCTGAGACTTGGAGCAGACTATTGCTGCTGTATATAGGTACTGAAATAGCTTTCAATACACGCCTTCATACAATCTCTGATTTCCCTAGCCTCCTCCACAAAGATGCCGCCTCAGCTGTGTTTTCCTGTGCCATGTCTCTTTTGAGCTGTTACATGGCACTCTTTTTTAAACTTTGGCATTACCTGGAAATCCAGGTATTCCCGGGTACCCAGGGTCACCCTTGGATCCTGGTCTTCCAGGTTGTCCTTGGATACCTGGTGAGCCTTTCTCTCCTGGGAATCCACAGAGTCCTTAAAGAAAAAAGATAATCTAGCATTTATTTGTTTGAAGTTGCCCATCCTTCCTCTCATGATAAGCTTAAAAATCTAAAAGTTCAGTAAGGAGTTTCTTGACTAGAGAAAGAATTTTATTCAAATACTTCAGATCCTTGCATCTACTTATTAGCAATGAATTATACTGATCTCTCTGGTGATATCTGAAAGAGTAGAAAGAGCTAGCAAGATACAGCCAAGCCAGGTTTTCTCTTGGTAAGTAATGGTATGTTCATTGGTGCTGTACTAGACAACACTAGACTCTACCTCCTGCGTTCGTGCTAACAATATTGCACATTGTGATGCCTCTCCAATCTCTGGGTTTATAACTACAGAAAATACCACTCAATATGCACAGGAAGCAGGGCTCCTTCTCTGCTAACAAAGCTTAGAGAAAGTAAGTTCTTAACTCAAATTTTTTCTTCCATCAGACAGAGGTACCTGGTAATCCTGGATCTCCGGGAGGCCCTTTTTGACCATGGGTACCAAGCAGAGGAGTTGGGTCACCTCTCTTGCCTGTTGAGGTACAACGACTTTCATTTCATACAAGTATCCTTTTCATCCACAAAACCAAAGCTGGACAATTTTGGAAGATCAGATAATTTACTCATAGACATTAAAAGCTATAAAATTTCCCATAATGAAAAAAAAAAAATCCACAACATCAAAAGTTATGAGAACTTTCCAATACTGCCAGCATATACTGAAAATAAAAGACATTGCATAAATTTCCTGTAACACTTTATTAATAAACAAAGACAACTCCTCCCATAGGTTTGTGAGGATGTGCAAAATCAGTACAGCATGAGTCTATTTACTCAGTAAAGACCTTTTAGGGACTAGCTGGGGGCTTTAAGCCAGAAAATCATCTTCTGTGCTAAAATTCCTGTTTATCACAGAATCAATAACTCCAAGCAATTTTGCCTTACATTGTCTATACAAATGTCTGACCTCTCCTACCTATTCATGCTGTCTCCAGCTTCATTGTCTGATTTTGCTGTGAAGAAGTTTAGAGGAAATATCAAGTTCGTGTTGCTAGAAATCCCTGCCATAGCATTCTCCACCTTCACTGGCTATTTCCTGCTTTAGTTTTAAGGATAACTTTTCCAGTAAATTTGTTTTCAATATATTTCGTAAAAGTTCTCTTTATAGCAAGTATTGTTCTTTACTTTTTTTGATGAGAATGTATTCCCTGGCTGACAAAGTCTTGAATTTTTGAAGAAATAGAAAATGTAACTGAGAAGCTAATTTCTGCTGTCCCCTTAACGCTTTTTTCCAGGCAATTATTTAATTGCATTATTTATTAGTAATGAAATCCTGCTCCAAGGAAATTTGCAATATGATGGATGACACCATTTCGCATTTCTTTGAAACACATCTTAAAATTTAAATATTATAGATAAATTTTTCAGAGTAATTTCTAACTATGCAAAAAACAATATGCAAAACTTCATCTTTTCAACTGAATAATTTTGCATGCATGGGTATGAACTCTGCCCAATTTGTTACACTACACTTTCAGAAGTTCCAAGAATTCAAAATCATAGCCTAGAAAACACTGAGAAATAAGTGATATAAAAGAAAATATAAATTATGTTGGAATATTTAAAAAATTCTACATATCTGTGTAATACCATACCATAAATGATTGCATTTTCACTTATTTGATTTTACAGAATTTTTAAATTATCTGAAATTTGACACAAACTTGTCTTCTAAATTTGTAAGACCTACTTTAAAAGGAACAAACTGTTAAAGAATATACTGAAATGCAAATTTTACCTTTAGGTAAGTCAGACTTCTTTCTAATGACATTCGTGTTTTAATTATTTTCACTTCTATTCTATTTTCCCTTTTCTAGTGAGTATTTGCCATTTATCAGAGCATATACATTCTAAGAATATTGCTCTTTTCAAAAGCATGTCTATATAAACACATTACCTTTAGATCCTTTTGGTCCAGTCAGGCCTGCATTTCCAGGGATTCCTGGTAAGCCAACATCACCCTGAATTTTTTAAAAAAACAAAATGAAAATGTTTGACGTGATATGTGTAGCAGGAACGATCTGTAAGAGCATTTGGTTCTCTTACACTGATAAATGGGCCAGCAATCAATATAAATAGCAAAACTGCATCTTAAGCTCAAGAGAAAAGTATACTGTCTTTATTACAGGTCTAACACTGACCACTAATGCTTCCAAGAAACTGTAGATTAGACTTGCTAATCATTTTGAATTTGTGCTTTTATAGTTTATGCTAACTCTTGGCTTGAACATTTTAAATTCTCCACAGACAGCTTAAGTAATTTGATTTAAAAGGTACCACAAAAATGTACCAAATATTGTTGTATGTTACCCAAAATTTACTATAAACATTAACCTGAAATATGTTGTGATGTAACATTAAAAAATGTAAATATTTATCTATTTTCCTTTTGAATAATGACCTATAATCAGCAAAACAGATTATCTCTTCAAAGACATATAATAAAAGACAAGCCAAGCAAAGATATGTCCCTTTACCAAAAAAACCAACTGTGCTTTATGCTTTGTGTAATCTCACTGCCTGTCTACCTAGCATACAAGCCAGTGAAGAATTTTACTTTATATCCATGTGTGATATATGTGTGGGTTTGTATGTTTGCTTTTGAGCAACACTGCGTTCTGTTTGGTGCAAGTTGTTGGCATGGGCACAGATGATTTGGTTTGTCTTGTCTATTGCCTTGGCTGCTCCACACAGCAGGATATGAAGAAGCAGCTAAATATTAATTTCATACTTGTGCTGCTGCTATGTTATCATCTCTGCAATAAGTTGTCAATCTGTTTTTAGGAATAATCTTAAAGACTTGATTGTGCATCCATTTTTTGCCCCCCTAAATAGTGCAGTGTAGCCTGGGCTTCCACCAAGTGGCAGCATAACAAAACCACAACATGCAGTTAGGAGAGAGAGGAGAGGCCCTTAGACTCTGACTACAGTTCCTGCTAAAATGTAATCAAAGCTTTGCAGTGTTGCATTAAGGAATTTACCTTTTTTATTATACTGACAGTCTTTTCTCAGGAGGAACATCTAATGGGTGAATACAATAGAAGCACCCTTCATCACATTTCTTGGAGGCAGGAGATAACTGCAAAGTCCAGGACACTTCACTACCACTTTGTTTACCTGGTCACCTGGATGTCCTCGAAAACCTGTCATTCCTTTAAAGCCCTTTGGTCCTGGGAAACCCTGTGGTCCTGGAAACCCCATCAGCCCAATGTCACCGTGGTCACCTGGCAGTCCTGGGACACCGTTCTTCCCTGGAAATCCTGGGGTGCCTCTGAAACCAGTACTGCCTTTTTCACCTGAAGTTAATTGCAGAACGAGATAATGACAAATATAGTCAAGCCATTATTTGACACTTATTTTGAATATGGCTACGCTTTCACACTGTGTGTGTTGCCTTAGTAATTGTACAAAGAAACTCGCCTGCTAGTTTAAGAATCTATAAACACAGTAAGGGAGCTGAATGTTACTGCAGCTACAAGTCCAAACCTGTGAAAAACACCAGTGATTTATATCAGATGAGTGTGTGCGTGCAGGGCTTTATATTATGAACTTACCTCTTTCACCTCTAAATCCGTTCTCACCAGGAAACCCTGGCTCCCCTTTTTGTCCTCTCTCAAGACGGATGTTAACACAGCCACTGTCTCCTGGGGGACCTCTTTCACCTTTGAACCAAATATATGGAATGTAAGTGAATCCTCATGAGTGATGTGTCCTGAAAATTAATTTTGGTGAAGACTTCCATAACAGAGATGGCCTTCAAATACTAATGCAGTTCTCAGTTGTTTCAGCAGGCTCACTGCTAACAGAATTTATTATCCTTCTCTTGCTTTTTAGTTAATTCAGTAGTAAGCCAGGTGATGTTAAATCAGAATTATTCCGTTTGTCTGGAATATGAAAGATGGCAATTGTATTGTTCACTCCACAGTGTACTGTCTGTGACTACACCTTGGAAATGGTTAATCTCTTTCCTATGTTAATATTTAGAGAGATTATTTCCTGTATGTTTTACATAGATTGAAGAACGCAGACAAAATGATAGAAAACTTGAAAAATTTCAAGTCTCAGATGTGTACAGGACAAAATTCAAGGTTTCTTTGAATAAGTGATCTTACTCTGTGTGATTTAGTGGTAAATGCACCTATTGATCCAAGTGGAATTAATTGGTTTTTAGTTATTTTTCATTATGCATTTGTAAGTGAGATAACTGGATTTAGTATCTCTGAAAGTAGAAGTGACTATACCCTTATAACAGGAAGAAAACGTACATAAATTCCTAACACGGTAGCAACAAAACTAAATAGAGCAGCAACATAACATAACTACGGAGTGAAGCAGATTTTTACAAACCTTTTATTCCTGTATCCCCACACTCTCCACTAGGCCCAGGCGGACCCATTTTTCCTTCTTCACCTTTTATACCAGAGATTCCCATTGGGCCTTGTGTTCCTGGGAGTCCTGGAAATCCTTGGGGTCCTTGAATCCCTTTGCTTCCTGGTAATATTAAATGCTTTATTTACATACTCGGTCTCCTATGCTGTTGCTGTCATATTCTAAGGATGAGTATAAAGCAAAAGGCAGGAAGTTTAGGAGGGCTCCTTAGGAAATCAGCAAAGCCAGAGAACCAATAGTTGGAGCATGGCTTCATGCCAAGATCAAACTGGTCTTGAAATCCAGATTTCCTTGAAGCAAACAAACACCTTCTCCCTCCCTGCTGCCAGCCCCTGGAGATTTAGGCTACACTTACTACTAAAGCAGCTATCCCCAACACAGCTTAAATACAACGCACAGCCTAAGACACCACCAGATTTTGCATCTGGCTACTGGAAATCATGACTCCTACTGTCCAGATGACAGAGGAAAACAGGATTTTGCTGTAGTTACTCAGAACTTTTGCCCATCAGCCAGTGATGATTTGGGATCAAGATGACATTTTTTATACATATTGGACATAATGTGAAGCTATTTTTCAACTTACTCATCAGCATACAGTCATAGACTGCATCAGTAAAGGTGACAGACTGGGTATAATAAAAAGTATATTGTTCTTATTATAGCATATTATAACAACAAATTATTACAAATAGTCAGGAAATAATACATGAAAATATGTCAGTGTTGTAAAACAACTAAAGCACCAGGATGCATTGAGATGTATCAAATTATTTCCATCCTTTTGTTTTCATTATAAGTGAAAGAACAAAGGATGCTGTTGTTATTGCCTCTACCCTTCTGCAGGGTCTTATTCTTGAAGCTGGAGGGGGAGGAGGGTGCAAAGTACTTCCTAGCTTTAACACCAGTGGAAATAGCTCCCTCCACAAGAGAAGTTATAGACGATGTGGTTTGCAGGATGTTTAACATACCTGTTTGTCCTGGAAAACCAGGTGGTCCTTTATTGCCTGGAAGTCCTGGAAGTCCTCGGGAGCCTGGAGGACCTGGGGGACCTCGTGAGCCAGGAGAGCCTTTGAGACCTTTGATTCCAGGTGGCCCAGTTAGGCCCCTGTCTCCCCTCTGTCCTTTAAAGCCTGGTAAGCCTGAGAAAAAGAGCTTTAATCTATGTGCATAAATGCAGGACAATGGTTCAGCAATTGTATCTAAAAAGTAGAAAGTGATAGATTTTGGTAAAATTTGAATATCATAAACCATGGCAAAATAACTTGGAAACTTTGCCACCATGCTAGAGTCCTGGCTCTGCCTAGATTTTTCACCTGGAATGTTTATTTTCTTGTATTTCTTTAGTGAAAGATACATCAGTAGAAGTGTCCTGTGAAAAATCCCTACTAATTTGTAGATATTTTTGATATATCTGTCTCTTAGCTCTCCCTAAATAACACTTCCATTTAAGAACAAGGAAGATGATTATCACAGTAATGACAGGAGCTCAGTTAAGTTACTCAGGACAATAAAATAAGAGATAACTCTTCCTTTTAATACTTGACAGTGATTACTTGACACTGTGATTTGGACAGTTAAGGAATAGTATGGGAAGGGTAGGAAACTTTGGAAACAAATGAGATGCACACTATACATTCCTTGAGTTTAAGGAAATGTGCAAGACATAATGTACACCCCCACTAATAAGCAGCCCCCATGGAAATATTTGTCATGCCAGCCAAAAAATCATGTGATTAAATCCACTAGAAAAGATGCGCAAAGCTTATAGCTGTGAGGCAACCTGATGGAGGTCATGTACCTTGAGGTCCTGGCAGGCCCATGACGCCTCTGAGTCCTAGTGGCCCTGGTAAGCCCATGTCACATGGTGGACCAGGGAAGCCTGGACAGCCTGGTGCTCCTGTATCACCTTCTGGGCCTCTAAAACCTTTCGCACCAGGAAATCCTGGGGTACCAGGCTGTCCTGGAAACAAAAAAAACATGTAGAACGTTTTACTTCCATTACTTACCATCCCTCAGAATTCCTAATTGTAATTTTGAAATTACACGTTCAGTTATTGTAACATCTTACTTATCCTCTAGTTTTCGCCTAGTTTGTGAAAACTGACGCTTTTCTGCAATTTAGAATTGGCTGTTGTGGAGAGCTTCTTTCTCTAAGGAATAACTTATGAATTCAACTCTCACCTATAGGTGAGGACTTCATGGCACAAAAAGCTAGTTTGATGTGTAGGAGCAGAATGGAAGGAACTCAGTGGCATGCACCAGCTACACAGCATGGGGGGCAGTTCTTTTTGTTGTCCCTACACAGAAGGAAGAGTGTCTGCTCAGAGCTGGGCACAAGGAAGACCTATAAAAGGAAACAGCAATACCTGGTATGAAGCAGGAAAGAAGTGGCACTGTGGAGGCATCTGCAGTAGCCAGCAAAACTACCTTTTTTGAACTGAGGAGTGCAGTGCCCAAGATATTGAGGATTACATTGTATAACTCTGGGAAAAGAAATTCACCCTTGTCTCTGAGTGTTTTCCCACCTTTTCAGATTTGAGTAAGCAATTTAAGGCAGGGACTATCTATGTGGCAAAGCAGGAGGCCCTAAGCACAGATGGCCGCTAGGCAGCAAGTAACACAAGTAAGAACAGGAAGCTGCACTATTACTCCATAGACTGGCATCTTCCCCCTCCTGCAGTGCAGATCTCCTCAGTGGATTATCAACCTTACCTGTAAAAATGTAGACATAAAAGTAGAGAGTACTGTTCACAGTCATCATTATAGATTCAGATAAGAATACGTTTTATCTGAATCAGGACCAACTTTGCTCAGATTTTCTCCTTTGAACATATGGAAATGCCTCATAAAAACTGACTCATACCTCTTTTTTTTTGGAATGCCTGGATCACCCCTTGCTCCTTGTGCACCAGGGGGTCCCGGCTGTCCCCTGTTGCCTGGGATTCCTGGAGGACCATATGTTGTATCACCTGGAACACCTTTCTGACCATCTATGCCAGGTGGACCTGGAGGGCCATCTTTACCATCAACTGTAGATCCTCTTTCACCTTCATCACCAGGATCACCAGCTCTGCCTCGAAAGCCTGTTGATAGGATTTTTAAATTCAAATAGGGCATAATTCAGAAGTTTGGTGGTTTTTTCCAAATTTTGTAATATTATAATGCAAATTTAATCAGAATTAAATTATCACTTTGCAAGGAAAAACAACGTAATACATTAAATTTCAGGTTTCTCATTTACAGCTAACGATACATGAGGATTGAAGGAGGTAATTATTCCTGTGGGAAGTGACAGTGGTTTTCTTTGGGACAGCATCTATCTTGTGTACTATCACTCTTGTCCAGTTCAAACCCTTTGCTAAAATGATACTAATTATTCTCAGTTTTCCGAGAATATTTCCTCTCTAGACACTGAACTTTAGGTCATTGTAGCGCCTGCAGTGCTACAGGAAGGACAGGGAAAATGGTAAAGATTCCTCTTCTGTTAGCTTTCATTGAAACGTGCTTCCTATCTATGCTACCATGGTAGCTACCTTACCCTGCATGTATGCATTACAGCTTGATCAGCAGGTTTCCTGGATTAAGAAAAGCACAATTCACCTTCTGGCCCAGGGATTCCTGCTCCTGGCCTGCCTTGATGGCCTTTTTGCCCATCAAAGCCATTTGGTCCAGGACGGCCGGGGAGTCCTTTTAAACCCTTTGGTCCTGGAAACAGAAAGGAATTTTGTAAAAAAACTGACAGAGCTCTGAAATGTGCGGTCTAAAGAAAGAGTATTGCTTCTTTATCCCATGCAAATTCATGTACTTTGAAGACAAGTGGTTTTCATCTGCTTCTAACATTTTGGGCAAGAGCCTTGACCTAAGTCACAACCAAATGCATAGTTGCTGTTTTTCTAAGCAGACTTGTTCCCTGTAATCCATAAACAGCAGACTGCAAATCACCAGAGTAAATTAGAAACAAACAAAAAAAAATTTCCTGTAACATTTTAATGTTACAGGACATCAACAATATTAACCTAGTGAATGACAGGTGTCAACTCAAATTCTCCTGTGCTATATGCTGTTTCTGGGATGGTGCAGATGAGCTCAATATGTTAATTCCTGTTCTTTCATGTTTTTATTTATTTTAGCTACCACTCACAATACTGACATCAGGGAGCTGTGTAATACCATATTAAGCAGCTTAAAAATCCAGTATCTTCATTTGCTGTGATCAGGATTTTCTGGGATACTTCAAATGTTTTGGAGGTGATCACAAGCAACATTTTTGCAGTTCCCGGCTGAGTTCTTTGAATTTAAATTAAGTTGAACAAGTTGAAATAATGGTAATAGGTATTCAGATTTTAGGGCTCAATTGCAACTTGCCATTAGCAATATAGTTTTAGAAATTACAGACTTGCAGCATATCTTTGCCTCACACACCATTTTTTCCTGGTATTCAGATGTACATATTCCAGGTCTTATCCAACTCCAGCCATCTGTGTATTATACAGACTCTCTCATGCAGTTTAATGGAGGCAGGAGACAGTTTCAAGCTACCTTCATTTAGTCCTTTTTATGGAGGCAGCCTGGCTCTTGATTCTATTAGATGAGTATATTCCTGTGTATTTGTGGTTTTACATTTTGAGACATGTATCTGTTGAAAAACTAGAATAATATATCTTTTTTGGGTAGTTTCTTTTTTTAATTAGCAACTTAACACTCCATTGCAATTAAAACCAAAAATTCACCTATATGTAAACATACCTTGAACACCTTTAAAACCAGGGGGACCTGGGTTTCCAGGGTACGGTAATGTGATGCAGACAGTCTCACCTGAAGCAAGAGGAGAAAGAAACTGGCCTATTGAATTTTAGAATAAATGGAGTCTGAACATTTACTGTAATACTTCTGTGGGATTAATCAAACATGCAAAGGTAAAGAGAAGGGACTGGATATGCACATTATTATTTCCATATTACTTGAGGTTTGATGGAGAATCTTAAAATACATTTTTCTTGACACTTGTTTTGTATAGAATATTGGTAATGATTCAAATTGTAATACAGTTGTATTCTGTAAAGACAAAGTTTTTTATTTTTTTTCACCAGAAATTTGTCTTCACAATAGTCTCTTGCAAGAAAGAAACAATATTTTCATCTCAATTCTATGTACGTTTCTGGTTCATATATATTGCTATCAGTGTAGATTTTTTTTTACTTTGGTAGGGATTTTTTATAACCAAAAACCAGACCAAGCCTTAAGTATGAGTTGTATTTTCTTGCTCCTTCAGCAAAAAAGCATTACCTTGCAAGTCCTATCACTCAGGAATACTCTTGATTCCAGAAGAGATTTCCTCTGATAGTGTGCAAATGGCACTTTGCAGGTTTAAGGCCCCTAGCAATTCATATTCTCACTAGGGTCTGCTGCTAAACGCTAACAGTATTGTACCTTTCAATGGCTGTATTTCACATGACCAGAGCTTCCCCAAACTGATTTTCACTATAAATGAGTAACACTGTCTAATACATATGAAACTGTAATGGATGCTACCAAACAGGTATTTTGTTACTTAGTTCTTAATGTAAACATTCAAAATTACCTTTCTGGCCCTTTGGACCAGGTGGCCCAACGTTACCAGTATCACCAAAGTCTCCAGGGCTACCTCTGACTCCTGGAGGGCCGGGAAGCCGCAAACCAGGCAATCCCATCTGTCCTTTTACCCCAGGAAGTCCTGGGACTCCAGGGAATCCTTTATCACCTGGTAGTGGTACTCCAGAATGGCCCTAAAAAAAGAAATTGTTGATAAGAAATAACAAGATCTAATTTCTTTCCTCTCTTCGATTATCAAAAGCCATGTTAGAGAATTATCTGGAGAAACCACTCTTCCACAATTAAGTGACTACACGGATGGCATTAGTAGTTTTAAATATTCAAAGGCAATAGGAACAAGGGGTAGAGTTTTGTAGGTTTTTTTTCTTCCTGATCCCATAATATTAGCACACAATATATGCAGAAATTGTATTCAGGAACACTAAAATAAACAGTAATACTTCAAGTAAATAATTTTTCAACTGATAAAAACTATGATTTTTTGATCTAAGCTAACATAAAATGATAAAGTGATTAATCTGCTAGGAACTTGGAATAAAATGGTACGTTTCATTAAGTAGTTAGCTCTTTCATAAGACAGTACATTAACTGATATGGACAAAAATTCTGAGAAAATCAAACGTACCTCTTCTCCTTTTTCCCCAGGCAATCCTAGTTCCCCATCTCTGCCATCATTACCTCTTTGGCCTGGAAATCCTGGAACCCCAGTAGGACCTCTTTCACCTTTTATTCCTTAAACAATTTGAAAAAAATTAACTATAATATTTGCATTAAGTTTGGGGAGTTTTTATTTCCGCTCAGGTAAACTCTGGGTAACTATTCATCATATCTGTATGAAAATTTCCAGTTCTTGAATTCACACTTCCGTAATGAGGTATTTTAGGTTTAGGAAGGCAGTATGTAGTTGGATACCTTGTGGAACAACTTGGTCTCTCTGTAAAAGATGTGTTTACAGGCACCACTTGAATGTGGCTTTTGTTCATGCTATATACAGAGTGAAAATATGTTGGTATTGAAATCAGTCAGAGTTTTATTCTTGATTTCAGTGAAATCAGGATATAGCAATGCCATATGCTGCAGAATATTTGCATCAGTATTACCAAAAGGTTTTTTTTTTTTCCTCTTTTCTTTTTTTAACTCTGAGATTTCCTTTGCACTGATATTTATGAAAATGTAATTTTTACATAAAGGACAATAATACTATTCTAACCCAAAGATTCATTTTGCTGTATCAGGAAATGGTTTGCAAATAAACAGCAAATGTTTTGCCTTGCTCTAACATCTGTAACAAACACAGACATCCGAAGTAAGCTAACTCTTCACAAAAAATAAGATAGACAGTCTTTTGTCTGAATAATTAGTTTAGCATTTCTAAATAAGCTTTGCCATGAGATTGCTGTAATTTGTTGTTCTCTGATTCTTTGGCTTTTGCAAATCATAACCATAACTATAGAGAGATTTTGATCTATTTAATTACAAGAATTTCAGTTGTGCAACTGGTGGCCTATTGTTTCTCTTCAATGCCTGGTCAAGAGTATTTTTTAGAAACAGAAGCAGGAATCTGAATAGCCATTGAGACTTCGAGGTTTTCCCAAGAAGGATGTTGGTGGTTTAAGTTGAGATAACAGCTGGGATACTGGTATATGACACTTCAGGAGCTGGCTTTTGTATAATAGTATTTCTTTATGCTTTCAGAATAATTGTATTGTGCTTAGTCTTTGCTATACAGACCTCTGTAAGACCCTGATTATCAATCATATGACATGAAAAGTCATTTGTTAGCATTAATAACAAGCTGTTAAAACTGTTTTATGGATCAACTATAGAGTTAAAATCACAAAACACTGTGGTTATCTTGTATTTAGCAAGAAGAAAATAAGCAAGATGGTACCGAGAAAGCTGTTTGGATATATATGACCTCTAGGCTTCATTAATTTACTAAATTAAGAGCAGATTAATATGGTTTTCTCAAACAATTGCCTAGGCATTGTATAGGAAACAAAAAGGCTAATTGTAAAATGTGTGTTTACCTTTTATTCTAATTCTTCCTGGATCACCCTTCTCTCCTTTTTCACCATGTTGTCCAGCAGAACCAGGTGTCCCCTTACCATTGACCAAAAAGAAAAAAAAATTAAAATTGTCAGTTATCTGCAGCACGGAACCAGTTTGGGAATTGAGAGGAAAAATAGGTATCTATCTCTTGCTTTTCCATTGTTTCACAAAACCAGACCAATGAAAGTAACATGCCAAAAAGAAAAGCTTATCTTTCTTGATGCTTATAAAGAGGTTTGTGAATGGCACCTGGCCTTTTCAGCCCGACTCTGTCAAATGCACAGATACACAACTATAAGAAATTGTAATGCTAGAAAAATTGGGTACATGGCAGTACACAGCTGTGACTGTAAATGCAAGAATGTTAAGATACAAACAATTTACAAATTCTTCCCACTGCAGACTTCAGCCCACAATCCACCGAGGCTACACAGGAAAGGAATCTCTGGAGTGCAGTGACTGCTGGATGAGGCTGTCCTCCCAGAAGCGAACATGGCAGCAGGTAAGGGATGCTTTTTTGCTGAGTGAAAGCCCATAAAGCTGCCCATAAAAAATTTCATCTGTGTCTAGTTAGGTACCTGGTATTGTCAGAAGAATCCATGACTTCACAGGTTTAGAGAGGAACAAAAATACTTTTCTGTACTTTTATGCTGATTTGTGCTCTCAGTTCTCCAAGCAGGGTGCGGTTTGCATATTGTCATTGGTGAGGGTCTGATCTTGCATCAGTATACGTGGGCAAATATATTTTAACATGTGAAATTTACACAGAAGTAAAAGGCCACTAAGGTTGAAAAACTGGGGTATTTTTTAGCCAGTTTCCTCTGTTATTCAAAATCTTTCACTAAAAAATAGATGGAGAAAATACGATTTATAAAGTGACTGTAAATCATGAAAATTGTAAAACAGCCAGGAGACTTCTGAAAAACGTGGTGTATCTGAAACTGGCAGTGACTGTTTGTTAAAATGTCTAGATCTTCAAGTTGGCAGTGACCTGTTATTAGTGTTTGAAAAGCGAAAGGAGATATTTGGGAAGAAAAGAGAGCAGAAAAATAGAAAAAGTATATATATGTAGGAAATCCATTAGACCAAAGCACTTCTGTATCAAAGTGAATTACTTCTTTCTGAATTGATTACTTTGTCCTTGTTCCTCACTTAAGTAACCTAAGAACACCAAAGTATTCAGTATAAGACTTCAAGCTTTGCTTCAGAACCACAAGGGGTAAAGAATACTTTCAAAAGCAACAAAAAAAATTGAAATCTCACATAATACACTCAGGTAACAGAATTTTAAGAGCAGAAAAAATAAAAACAAATGCAAAGCTTGTAATGAAACCACTGGAACTAGAATGACAGCCCCTCCACCTCCTTCCTTCAGTGTCACAATGTTTTTTCAATGAAAAACTGGATGTCAGATCTGATAACACTGGAATGAACTGGTCATAGGAAAAAATGAACATTGTATGCTGATGTCAAATGATTCTAGTACTTGAAATCTTTACTACCAAAAAGTTCATTCAGTTTCTGCTCTTGAGGAACTTGAAATGAAATGGTTACATTGTAAGGAAGCTATTCAAGCAAATTAAAATTCTTTCTTTTGATGGTTATAGTGATTTTTCCTTCTGAGAACTGTTAAATCAAGGGCAAAATATTTATTCCATTTCAGCTTCATTGCTAATACGTATGTCAGAGAGAGACAAGGCATCGCCTTTAGTGGCTGATCCTTGTGGAGAACAAACTTTGGCTGAGTAGTGACGTAAAACGGGAGATTAAAAGGTAATATGGAACAGTAAAGGGCCAACTAACAAATAGCAATGCCTTTCAGACTGAGAGTGAAAGACTACATGATGTTCACACTGCCTCATAAAACTAATTACGCATATAACATAAATTAAGCTTTTCAATTAATTTCTAAAAAAGGAATACAGAAAATTACTTGAAATGCCTGAATAAAATCAAGGGTTCCTTTTCCTTCAGAAGCTGTGCCCCACCTCCCAGCCCCCCTCCCCTAAAGGTGGATGTCAACATAAAATCCATCTTGACTTGCTGACATCATGCAATTCTTTGCCTTGATAAGGTTTTGCTGGAAATGCTTTCCTTTGCAATAACTGAAAAATCATATTCAGTGGAGCAATTTGTGCATCTATAATGCTTTCAAGAAAAACAATGGGTATTCGAAACTAAAAGTAGAAACAAGTCAAAACAAAACAAGATGAACATTCACCAGCTTTCCTAAGCCTGCTGACCACCCCACAAACACAGAAGCATGGGCTTCTGTCCCTCAGTGTAAAACTCTGCCCACTGCCACAAGGGAAATCCAGTAGATGCTAATAAAATGCATCCTCCAACAAGACTGTAGTAAGCAAAAACAGATAAAACTTTTAGTTTTCCAGGGCAGTTCCTCCAGCATTCTGCTTAAATGCTTCCTGCCTAAGTAGTAACTTCATGTTACTTATTTACTGAAGCTCATGAAAACTACTCACAGGGAGGCCTGGTGATCCCATTGCACCAGATACGCCTGGGTCACCCTTCTCTCCATGTCTTCCAGGGTATCCCATTTGTCCTTTCCTTCCTTGAGTACCTGGAGGTCCTTGCATACCACGGGGACCAGGAGGACCAGCACTACATGAGCAGAGGCCTTGATTTCCTATGTGAATGTGTCAAAATCACACTGAAACAGTTGCAAAATTAATACACAAAAAATAACACTGCCCTTTTTCTTTTCTGTGTAAGTAGCGCACAGACCATTTTATCTCATCATGGCCTTCAAAGGAGTGAAGCATATCAGTCTCTTTTCACAGTGCTGAATATCTGCTGCACTGACATGACTCCACTGACTTAGAAGCCCCAATGCTAACAAGCTATTTAACTCCACACTTTGATGGGCCTTATCCTCCAAGTTACCATAAACTTCTTGCAAATTTAGGTCTGACATATCTGGCAAATGACTCATATTCTAATTGTTGCTATCCAGGCATGCTTACCCTTTTCTCCTTTTTCACCTTTTCTTCCTGGAAGGCCTATTTGACCTTTTGCTCCAGCTTCTCCAGGGACTCCTCTGTCAATACAGATTACACCTTTGAAAAAATAAATTGTTCAGCTAGTATAAAGCAGGTTGACTGTGTCCACAGCTTAGGTCGTGCGTTCTCCTCTCCCTTATCTTGTTATTCTCACGTGAAAAGCTAGAGATCTTATGAAATGCTTTCCAAGTCATTGCTTATAGATCATACTACAAAAGTCAGTATGGCTAGAGTTGATGTTGACACATTGCTTTTTCATTGCCACTACTTCCTTTTTCTACTGTAGAACTTTATGACTCTTGTTTCTTTACTAAAGGATGCTGATTTGGGTTTCCTCCCCAGTTTGCTGTGTTTTTAACTTCAGGTGATATATTTTTAGTGACCTTTTTCATGTATGTTAGTTTGTGGGTTTAAATCACCCACAAAACTATGAAAATCTTGGTATATCACTGATTGACAACTACTAGGGAAAAACATGTTTTCTACATCATATGTAAAGTTTGATAGATCTTTCAAAATGCACTTTCACCTCTATATTTTTGTAGGACCAAGAAAAGCAATTAATCTATTAACATGCAGAATGATATTTTTGCCATATAAATTGCTGTTGAACCTACTGGGTAGTCCAGGTAAGCCCTGTCTTCCTGGCTGTCCTGGTAGGCCTGGTGGTCCAGGAAATCCAGGTCTTCCTGGGATTGATTCACCTGTTCCAGGGAAACCAGGGTCACCTTGAAAACCTTGAGGTCCTGGTGCCCCACTTGATCCTGGTAGGCCAGGCAGACCTATAAGGAAAATAATGGTACATGGCCCATACAGCTTCAAAGTAATTGTTACTACAAGATATCAAGGGGGAAATTACAGACTATTCAGAACACAACAGCCTGAAGAAGAGCTTCTATATAACAAAGACATAAATCTAAATCTTTAGGCTTTCTAGGTTTCCCAGAAAAAAGGCTCCTGCTTTAGACATTCAAATGCTTCTTCTCCTCCTCCCCATTATCTCTTTTCCAGACATCCTAGTTATTCTAGTTTCTTATATAGAGCAAAGTCATCCTTGTCACCTTCCTTTATATTTTTTTGAGACGGAGAATGGAATTTTTTGAGCAGAGCACTCCAGATACAGGCATACCATGGATTTACAGTGCATGGTAGCACTCTGCTTTGCCTTCTGTTCCTTTTCTAGTAATTCCTGATGTTCTATTTGAATCTTTTATTTGGCCACTAAGTGCTGAGCTAATGTTTTTTTGAACACTCCATAGAGCTCAAATCCTTACTGTTGGTGACTTGCATCAAGCAAGAACAAAGAACAGTTTTCTTTTAGCTGCTTTCTCTCCTACTGTTATATAGTTCACATTTTATCCCCTGGTTCTCTTACTTGTTCCATCATCTCCCGGTCTTCCTAGCAGGCCTGCACGACCAATTGGTCCAGCTGCTCCCATATCACCAGCAGGACCCGGAAATCCAGGATCTCCTCGTGGACCTACACAGAATTATAAAAACATGTGAATTTAACACCTTATGCAATTGATAGCTTAAATCTAAATTAAACTGCAATCAAAAATATAATTTGGGAATACACAGAAGTAAAATACAGTAACTTCTTTTGTCTTTATGAAACACTTTTAAATGTGTAACAATTTAATTTTAAGGTGGGAGGATTTGGTTACTTTTCTACAGATTCCTGCCCATTTTGTAGGCACGGTTTTAACTCTTTGTCACTCCACAGTAGTATCTTTGTGCTACATATTTCAGAATGCTGAGATAAGAGTTTGCCCCAAATAAATACATGTAGCATTTAAAATAAATGTGCATCCCATGTTATGCATATTTGGCAGTGCACACAGGGAGGTCATTTCAGGATCATCCTGGTTGAAATTATCTGAATTTTAAAAAGCGTATTTTCAAAATTGCTATAATGAATAAATTTAAAAATTGCAAATACATAGTGATAAAGAAAACCTGAATCAGATATAAAGGACTTCATTAAACTGAAAAACAAATTATTGGTAGTAGTTCTGTTCTCAAACAATTCTGCTAAAGGCTTCTTTCTCTGAAGAATGTATCCACTTACACAACATGCACATGATTAACTTTAAATGTTACTTGAGCTATTAAGCATCAGGTTAAGTCTTTCGTTGCATGGGCTGGAAACACACAGAAGCTGATAGATAACAAATTTAATTGATTTTTGGATGAGGCTTCTGTCTAATAGGGGGGTTCTGCTGAACTGGGGTTGTGTTGTAACTTACTTCTATGTTCACAATCAGCATTTGCTGCACTAGAAATACAATTTTTAAGTTCTCTGTTAAAATGTTATTACAATACAGGTTCCCCAAGCATGAGATGCCAAAGCAAATTCTTTCCAGGCAGCAGGCTTGGCTGTTCCCCACTGCCTCCTCCTATGAAGTAAGAACTTCCACATACCTTTTCACCAATTAGATGATATAGATGGGGACAAAGTGAGATGGGACATAAAAACTCACCCTGAGGTTTAGGTAGGAAGGTAGTAAGATTGACAGGTATCCTGTTGGGAGTACTAGTTCCAGGATTTCACTCCTGCTATGTAATAGGAAGGTTAATTGTAATCCAAAATCTGTGCATTGTGGCAATTCTGACAATAGGAATTCTAAATTTCAATGGAAAGGCCGGTTTTCTTATTTGTCATCCATCACCCAGCATGGGCTTATTTTTCAGACCTTTTTTCTTAAATATGCTTAGGTCCAATAACTAGGGATAGTCCTGCAGATCTAGCTGTGACTGTAAAGATCTTTCATTTAATCTGAAACTTGTATGTTTAACGTATGTTCCAGTACGATCTGTGAGACACAAACGAACATAGAATGTGGAAGATAAAGTTTTAAGATCCTGTCCCGTGAATCCATAGTGATCACTTTCAAACATCTTAGCAAAATAGGTCCTACACACTTTATTCAGCAGAAAGACTAGTTAAAACTAGCTATAACCTTTTATAGGAAGCAGCGAAGTTCCAACAGCTCCAGGAGGACCTGGGGGCCCTTCTTCCCCTGGATCCCCCTGTAAGAGTCCAACAACAAATTTTATTGATAGATACAAATATGCACTGTGCTAGCATGTACTTGAAAATTTCAGCAATGGTGGGATATGTAAGGATGTGACACATATCAGCTGGGAAAATTGATTTTGACACTTTATAGGATTTAAAACCAGGCAAAAAGATTTAAAATAATTATTAACTTTCAAAATACCAGTAACTAAACAGTAATATATCTATTTGACTTTTCAGAACTTGCAACTGCTGTATTTGATTTCATTCATTTATTGTAAAGACGAAACAATTGCAGTAAATCAGTACCCATTTAATTAAAACATTATGATTTAATAACCAAGCTGTAATTATTTGCCTTAAAATTCTATACCAGAATTTGGAAATTACTTCTATGATGACAGATAAGCATTAAGAAAGGAGGTTTCACAGTCTGACATATATTATCAATGGTAAAGAGATATTCAAAGCTTTTAGAAGAAGTTTAAAACATCTGCATCAGGGAAACATAAAAGTGCCTACTAATGGCAAGGAAAATCACTTCTGCTTGGAGGATTTCTAAATTAGCTTGGATTTTGATATTTAGAATTGCAAGTGAAGTGGATTTTAGGGACATCTTTTATGTGGCAAATTGTATTAGACTTTTTGCTTTGTAGATTAGGAATCAACCCTGCTCTCTGCAGCAAATGGGAACTGAGAAAACAAGAATGTGAATGTGGGAACTGCGTAGTGGGGTCGCATTCCTGGGAAGGGAGTTCAGGGCCTTTTAGGACACAGACAAGTAGAACTGGAACTGCAAGACTGGATACCCATTCCTACACAAGTGAAAACAAAGAGTCCATGCCTCCTGTTGTTTTGTTTGTATTTTTTTTAATTAATATCTCTATGATAGTTAAACAGTTCTGGAGCTGTCACTGGCTGTCCTCTTGACTTTTTTGGCTGGCCTTTTTCCTTTAACTGTATCTTGCAGAATGAACTAACGTCCTCATGCTGTCTTTGCCTATTTTAAACAGGAATGTAAATTTGTCTTCCCTTATGACATAGAAGAGTCTTTGTGGCAAGAAAGCAAAAATAAACCTAGCGTTTTTCCTCCTCTGATACACTTACAAGGTATTTTGAGATTTAAAATTAATTTAATGATGACAAAAGTATTGGAGATTTGTACAAGGAATGGATATGACTTTCATACTGATTTTTAAATTACCCAACCAGAACACAAGAAAGAACTGAAGAGTCACGAGCCAAGGTCAAAAATATCAGTTCTTATTATCTCCTTACATGACAAATTCCAATGGTGGTCTTTGAAAATCTCTGTCTTGAGGCTGTTAGGTCTTATGACCCTCTCTGGATGGCAGCTTCATACTTGCTCTGTTTTCACTGTTGGTACACTCCTACGCAGTGGTATATATACATTTGGATTATTTTGTTGACTGATACTGTTTTCTCTTCCCATAAAAATTTCAAGAGATTCAACTTGCCAACAGTTTATTAAAAAATAAAATGCCGAAAACTTCCAACAGAAGCTTATGTCTACTGTATTCTGTGACCTGGAGTCTTCTTAAAATGAAAGCTTATAATATCTTACCAGTTTTACTGATATCCGTATTAAGCATTAAACACCATATTTGTTCTGTAAGTTTCTATAGCTTTACATAATGTCAACGGCCAAGAACATTTTGCACTGTCTTTAAAGACCATTCATTATTTTAATGAGACTCATTCCATTAGTAGCAGAGACAAGTGGTCTCAGACTGATTTCAACAAGACTCATATCCTCCCTTGTATTTTGCCTGAAGAAAACATTCTGTGTTTTTTCATATTTATCACAGAATGGTTGAGGTTAGAAGAGACTTCTGTAGGTCATCATGTCTAAACCGCCTGCTAAAGCAGCAGCACCTAGAGCCAGTTGCCCAGGACCATGTCCAGACAGCTTTAGAATATCTACAAGGATGGAGACCAGCACTGCATAGAGGGCAAGGATCACCTCCCTCAGCCTACTAGTAATACTTTTCCTAATGCAGCCCAGGATATCATTAGCTGCCTTTGCAACAAAGGCATGTTGCTGGCTCTTGTCCAAGATCCACACAGTGTTGCCAATGTCCAGACTTAGGGATCAAAAGGTACGCCAACAATTCCTTGAAGCCATTCTTTGCTTTAAGCAAGAGTTAACATTTTTTAAAGATGAAATCCACTTCAAATGCAACTGGTTTCCCCCCCCGTCCCGAGTCTCTTTCTTTCTCTTAAATCTGAATGCATCTTAGATTCTATTTGAATGTGTTTATTTCAGAAAATCTACATGAGGACGGTCTATTCTCAGGAGGGTTTTCAATGATATTCTTGTTCCTCCAGTTTATGGTGATTTTTAGCAGATCGTAAGCAACACTTGGTGAGGCCAGATGAACAGTTGATGCAGTCTAGATAAATCTGCACTTTTCAGGAATAATCAGATTTATCCAGTTGTTTCCCAAGCAAAACTACAGCATCTGTGCAATCATTTTGAATTTTGTGTTTCTGTATGAGTTAACCTGAATTTTTTAAGTTGTGACTATACTTGATAAATTTTCTTTTGCTCCATGCATTAGCAATTGTAATTTCATCTTTCTGAATCATTACTGCAGGCATTCAAACTTTTCCCTAGCATAATCTACCAACAATTAATTATTTTCTGCTTACTCTTTGTAGTGTTAACTGATGGCTTCTTAGGTTGTGGGCTAATCAATGGAGTCTGAAGAATGCACTCTTCTGTCTATACAACGTCTTGTCTCAAGTTTGTTAATGATGCCCCTAACTAAAACAATATGCAGATCAGGGTGATATGTTTTAAAAACAAAACATGTAAGGTTTGATTCTGCTTTTGGGGAAATAATGGACTGTAATGATTTTTTTTGTTTAGATAAGACATCCAGTGTTTCTGTCTGATTAGTATCTGAATGATCCCACATTGTTGTGAAGCTGACAATGGGCAAATGGGAGAAAAATGAACATCTATGGACAATTTCTCCCCCTCCTCGCCCAAATATGACTACTTAAATGAAATCTTGGCTGAAGAAGCTGATCTAGCACTCTCCTGGCAGTCCTAACTTTGAAACAAGTAAGCCTGTGACTAAAACAGATGTTTTATTGTACTTTTACTTACTTACTCCATGTGTTTGTCATTTCTCATTTGTAAACCTGCTTCTTGAAAACCTGTTTGTTGCTTTTTATTTGTTTGCATTCAACTACTGTGTCTTTAGCAGTATACTACTTATAGCAAGTTTGGACGAGCCACAGTTTACTTCCTTTTGTCATCACAGATTATGTAGAGTGTGTTCCAGTCTTAACCTTCAATTTGGAACAGAGATGATTCTTGCGCAAATCTCTTTAGTGTCATTCCTCTGATTTTGCAGGTGCAACTAATCATGCTTTAAGGAAAGTTACTGTTTTACATGGAGCTTTCCAAAGAGATTATTTGAAGAAAATATTCACTTCTTAACTTTTGTATTTCAGAATATTTAGAGCCAAGTTCATTAGTGTTACAATTTCTGCAATATTGGTTTTGTCTTCTGTACTGTAGTAATAACTTCTTGAAGCTTGCTTTTTCAACCTCGCTGTCTCTACTGATGATCCAGTCACCCACCTTCTTCGTTGCAGCATTTCACTTCTCCTTTTGCTAATACACTGCTGACAACTTGGACCCTATCCCAGTGACTCCCTAGACCTTCCCCCTGGCTAGACTCACTGCTGCTTTGTTCTTTCTAGAGTAGCATCCAGAATTGTTTTTTCACTCTCAATGTGCTTTAGCATTGTAGATTGCATAGAAAATGTAATATTTCCCTTCATTCAAGTTTTTGTTGTTAGTCAGAACTACAGTATAATCATCGGTTCTGCAGGCTGCAGAAAGAATTCCATAAATTTATATCCTGAAATACCACTAGACTGGCACTTATGTCTTCTGAAATCAGTATTAAGCATCTCTTCTGTGCTTTTCAGATGAATACTCTCCTCCATTATTGCTTAACTCCCTGGATGCCACACCTATACTTCTAACCCCTAATGGAAAGCAGCATGTATTGTAAAGTAAAAAATGGCTAGCATCATCTAAGTGAGCAGAAGCAGGAAATATTTAAACCAAGCTGGTGTGAAGGAGTCCAATTTCCATTCTGATAAGCATCTTGGACAAGCTACTTATGTGAACAGGTTGAACACAAGGAAAAAAGATTTTGGTAAGTCATGCAAACAAACCCATCTGAAATAAATTTTTCCACCTCATTTGGTGCCAGTTATCATACTATTCATAGACCAACGTTTATAGGATCATATTGTTACCTAAATAGCAGGTTCCTTTACCTAGCATTCCTCTCTGGAGAATGCAGCTCAACCATTAATAACTTGCAGAGTACTACAATTCATGGATTAGATAGCTATACTGGTATAGTTGAAGGTAACTATTGGCAATTGGGATTTACCAATTTCTATGGTACACAAAATAGAATTCCCACTCACTTGTGCACCAAGCAGGAATGTTTACTTACACTGTTATTTAGTACTACGATGTTAAGTAACTATGACTATCATGAAGACAGTAAGTCTTAAAAGTAATTATGACTGTATAAAAGGAAATGGTCTGATAAGCAGGTACGTTTGGGAGGAATCATTAGCATTTATATAGGGGAGTGTGTGTGTGTGCGCGCGTGCATGCATACGTGTTTCTTGTTTTTTTCACCTGTATCCCTGGATAGCCAGGTTGTCCAGGAAAACCAGCAAATCCTGTTTCCCCCTGGAAAGGATCACATAAATATAATTTCATTAATCTATTAATACATTAATATAATTAATTGAACAAAAAGCAGTAAGGCTTACAAGACATACAATACTGTCATGTTATAATAGCATCCACAGTTTGTTTCAGAAAATTCACTGAGTTTGTACAAGAGATGGCATGTTTCATAGAATCCTTCTGTTAAAAAAACCCACAATGTGTATCACCAGGTTATTTAGACAGTGGTCAGTGGATTCAGTGTACCTGGTGTACAGAACTAGCTGGAATATATACCAGCAGACTCTGAATAGACTGTCTGCTTAATACAGCTGAAATCGGTTTGCTGCCTGCTGAATGACCTGAATGACTGCCTGCTGAATGACCCTCTTAAACTATATACTGCGTGGAAAGCAACTGCATATCAGCTCCTCCTCTCCTTTTATGACCTTACTAATATACTCATCTGTCCAGTATTCAAACTCTTTAAGTAGACAGTGGTAACAAACAAAGTAAAAAGTAATTTTGCAGATAAAACAGTCACCTGGAACATAACTCTAGATGCACATACCTGTAGATGATCATTACCATAACTAGATTTGAAAATGAGCTGGGGAGAGGAGATAGGAAAAAGGACAAGACGTACATCTATATACCTACATCTGTTGTTCTTTACTCCAGTAGGATGTTTTAAGTCCATAACTAACATTTAGTAGACTTAACAGCAAAACTGGAACTTCTTGAGCCAGAAAGATGAACAAAACATGCATAACACAAAATTACACAAACAATGTTACCATGGCAAACAAAGTTAACATGCTACACAACTTTTCTAACATGCTGTATGCATATCCCACTGGCTTTTACTTCTGCTTGCAACTTCGGATTCCATTAGCCACTTTCAGCCAAATTTCAGAGTGGCAGAAGTTCAAAGACAAAGAGTTCATACAACTTTGTGGCAACAGGTAGCAGGAGAGAAAGGAAGAAATGCAATGTGAGCTATCAAGTATGGGGAAATTCCAAATCCACACAAATCCACAGAAAGCTAAATCTCACTGGTCCCACTGTTCAGGAAGCTGCTTATACTTTATGTCTTCTTACCTTCATTCCAGGAAAACCTGCAGGTCCGTAAGAACCAGGATCACCCTGATAAAAGCAAGTAGAATGTCAGCTAAAACAGTAACAGCTTATTCAAATTACAACTATTCAGAATTGCTGAGCAGTTAATGTTTCTTAGATAATTATTACTTGGGATATTTCCCCAAAACTTTGCAGTTTTTGCAAATACTTTATATGAGATGGGCATGAATTTAAACTACAGACCAAAGTAAACCAGACAGGTCTCCACTTAGTTTTCTTTTAAATCATATTGCACTAAGCACAGTAGTGGACATGTTGCTCCATGTGAGCACTGTTATGCAAATCAAGCATTGCTGCTGTAAAAAATTGCCATCGGTATGTAGAGAATCCATTAAAATTACTGTGTTAGTACCGTGCTACTCCAGAGCAGCTTTGTGCAGCTCTAAATATTTAGATAACCCTACAGATATACTTTCTTTCCAAGGCAGAAAGTCCATATGAGCTTATGTTTAAGTCTGAGACAGGGTGATTCCCAGGGCAGGATTCCTAAATATTATATACAGAAAATATGAAAGATTAGTTTTAAAAAAATCCTTAAAATTTTCCTTGGAAATGCAAAATTAAACTGCCAAATATATTATGAACCCAATTATAGTGAATTTGTGAATTAATTTAT